CAGAGAGAGAGAGAGAGAGAGAGAGAGAGAGAGAGAGAGAGAGAGAGAGAGAGAGAGAGAGAGAGAGAGAGAGAGAGAGAGAGAGAGAGAGAGAGAGAGAGAGAGAGAGAGAGATGGTTGAATCCATACCACATTGAGGACTTGCTTCTTCTTGTTGAGGAACTGAAGGGTGTTCAAGCACGATCTTATATCGCATTCTGAGGAAACGTAACAATCAGAACACATTTAATCACAGACGAGTGAAGTTGAATTTTTTTTTAAATTTTATTTCAGATTTACAATCATCGATCGGGAGATATCATGACTAACCAGTATATTCTGCAAGTGCAGTAAGAGCGATGGAACTCGTTTTCACTCCTTCCTTATTACATATATACTTCAACCTATCATTTCACAGTTATGTGGTCAGCTTAGAAAGTAGAGGGACGCATCAGTAATTAATGACTTTACTACTACATCTTCGATATGGAATCAATCGGCTTAACAAAACAGTTTTCTAAACAAATGTTACTTGTCCTGCAAATAACGCAAAAAATAATAAAAACAAACAGGTCGTCAAACTAAAAAGAATTACCTATTTACAACACGACAAACAGTTGGTTGGATGAAAATGTGAACCCTGCAATGGAAAAAAAAAAGTCGTATTTCAATATCAATTGACAACAAGAGCAATTTATATTTTCGGGCATGATCTTAATATTAAGTCCAAGAACTTACTTGGCCACCTGACGCAATGGTCTTAGTGCTGGTGCGTATAAATCATTACAAATACATATCACCTGCGTATATGACACACAGTGAAGGTGTAAGAGGCTTTTAAATGTATGTAATATAACCGACAATATGAATATAAAGTCATACTTACGGGCCTCAACAAATGTTTCTTTTGCTTCTTTCCAGAACTCTTCTGACCAGAATGCGCTTCTTGAGATGCGTTTTCTTTGCCAGTATTACTTTTTCTTTCAGCAGAAACCTACATACGAAAAATTAAAAAATGTCATACAAAAATTGCTGAACGCACGATTCTTACACCGAAGGCAAATATCATAAGAAAATAAATAAACATCAGTCCACAAAAATATACAAGAAATAAGCAGCGAGAAATAACTCGAAGATTACGGTACGTACCAATCGAAGAATGATCTCCACGGCACCCTTCCCATCTCCTAGGGACCCATCGATCTCGTCAATAACCTTCAGAAGACCCCAATTTTGCGTCAGATGAGCACAGTATGAAAAAATGGAGAGATTTCAATTATATAAACAATTACGCATTGAGACGAACCAAGCATTTTGGCTTTGAATCGGCAATAACCGAATTCATCTGAACCACATCTAGGATTTTAGCTTCAATCGTTGATGCTGAGCGGTCGTCACTTGCATTAATCTGTCGAAGAAATAACTGCCAGTTAGTGGAAAAGAAAAGCCTTGCTTATTGGACAAAATTTTCAAAAATTTCTAACGGACGGCTTTCGAAGATTTCTATCACACTACACTTGATACACTAAAGTTCCGGATAACAAAGCCAAGTCAGCAGCTTATACGCTACAGGTAGCAAAACGAATATCTAAAATATAATGAGATATGCGGACAAATTGATGGATGGTAAGTTTCTTCGTGATCAGAATGGAAATATAATCATTCAGTGTACATTCACCGTAATTTGGAAAAGATATTTTGTAAGTACAACAAACTGATTTCACATTCAAGAGATGGGCACGAAAAAAAAAATGTAAGTGTTAAAAATTATAGTACCTCGACGACACGGTACCCACAATGCCTAGCAGCTACATGTGCAAGTGTTGTCTTCCCGAGCCCAGGTGAACCGCAAAGTAACAGAATCTGCGACGAATAATCAACTTTAAGTTGTTAACATTCATATACATACACAAAGATATACGGTTAAACCTCTATAAATTAATACAGTCGGGACTAGGGAAATTCTATTAATTTAGCGAATTATTAAATTATCGAGTTAATAATTTAACACGTTTTCACTGAGTCGGGACCGAGAGAAACTATTATTTAATCGAGGTTATTAATTTATCGAGTATTAATTTATCGAGGTTCTACTTTACGTGGAATTTCAAATAGAAATTAAACTACTCCATGTGGCAAGTACTTCTAAATATGGGGCAGTTCATTGACATAGTGAAGAAAACTAGTAACAATATGTGCATCAAAAAGACAAAACCAATATATAACAAGGATAAAATAGATAGCAAAGAAACACAGAACAAACAGGGAAACTAAAAAAACAGACGAACGAGGACAACCAAGCACTAAAAATAGATGACTAAAATCTGGGTGTACTCGTATTCGACACGTGGCATCTAAGCAAAACATGAATACAGCAACATATTAGTATACTACAATCATGAAAATTAAAACGCAAAATTTCAGCTTTTCAACACATGAAGTGAAGAAGTCGAAAATTGAAAAGTTAAAAGACGTACGATGCCACAGTAATGTTAGGCCTCGTTTGGTTGCCAGGATAAGATTAAATAATCTAATGAAACCAAATTATATAATTGGACCTCTGATGATCCAATAAAAAAACATGCCTAGAAGGCGGGATAAGCCATGATAACATAATAATTGCAGGTCGACCCGGCAAGTTATTAGGGATACCAAACATCAAACAAAGTCCAATTATTTAGTTAATCATGGTTAATCTCTCCAACCAAACGAGGCCTAAAAGGACAAAGTAGGAGGATATCAACTGACCTTCTGTTCCGGAGGACCGGAACTTTTTTGCCCCTTGTCCCATACCTCTTCATTGCCTTGGGAAATGTTTTTGTCTTTATCCGCCTCGTTATGAACCCTCAGTGTATCTTTGCTGAATCTGGTTTCTCTGTTTCTTCCTCCGTAATAACTCTTGGTTGATTGCTTCGAATTTTGAGACCCCGTCGAATGTCGTCTCAGAGCAGACAAAACGTCGTCCATCGTACTCTTAACTTCAGATCCATAAACACAAGAATCCCATTGTTTCAACCACAAGAGAACCTGCAGTAAGTAGAAGGACAAATAGCTGTTAGAAGAAAATATATTCGTGAAGTAGTACAGTCAACGTAATTTCTTCAAGAGGGAAAAAAAACGAGGCAAAACAAACCTCACGATTAGTCTGCTCGTCACTAAGAAGCTCTGTGAATGAACTTGGAGCATATTTATCCACCCAAAGTTGCTCGTTAGTCACTAGCGCTTTTTCAGGAACAACCTCAGTTGGAACACCTTCGGCACTCGCTTGCAAAGCCTTTCACAAAAGAACATTAAAATGTTTAACGCTTATTATTTTATCGAGGATAAGAAACGTAGATCACACCATTTTGGACAAGACAAAAACCATACTGGTCACGGTTTCACATTCAATAAGAATCTTCAACTATGCCCCTTAAATTATTATCCATTCCTATAAAATAATATAATCCTTCTTCGATTTCAACAATTTCAAACACAAGTAAACAAATGAATAGATGGTTTTTGATTGTCTTCGAAAAGATTTTCTGTAAGCTACATCAGTTTGTATTAAATACTAAATATTTATCTAATTGGAGAGAACAAGAAGAAAAAAAAACGCATCAGAACGAAACTTACCTTTGTCAACTCCTCTTGCTCAACTTTTTCCATTAGAACTCTAACAGATTCCTCAAGCAATCCTGCATGTGAGCAAAGTTCCCTTTCATCAAGCTTATCCATAGTATAATTGTAGAAATCTCGTGTGAACATATAAGAAAAAACATAAGAGGAGTGCAACGTGGATGAAATATCCTAACCCTTAATGAAACAAGAACTCACAACGTGCTTCCGTTTCATTTATATAAAGTACATCGACAAACTCAGGAGAACAAAAGAAACTAATGCAAATAACCCAATTGTACCATCTCAGTAGCTAATGTAACAACAACGACAAGAGTATGTTCGCCTGAAACTATTACAATTCCGTATAGCATTATCGTTTAGTATTACTATGCAAAGGCAGCCACCGATCAAGTGAAGAAACTTCCGACCATCTAATGATATATTACCAACCAAATTCTTTCTTACACCCCCATAGTTCGATAAGTATATGAAACTCCAGTAGGGATATCAAAACTCTCGGCACCTAATTGAAAGAAACTACCTTAAAACGGAAACACGTATAATAGGAATCGAAAGAAACAATGATAATTTGAAAGCATAAAGCTCATACTAAGCATCAAATGTGGAAAAATTGTTACCATTAAAGTTTCCTCTGCAACTCGATTTCCTTTTCGTCTCCTCGTCGTCAATATCAACTCCGCGTATCTTAGCGTACACCCTCTCCCCATCCAACCCCGTCACAGGTACACAATCGCCGTCTATCTCGGTTGCGTATCTAGACAAAAATCTCTCGCCCTCGACAACCTCCATCTCTTCCACAGTATCTCTTGGGGGTGAGTATCTTAGCCACTCCTCCTCGTCATTATCATCAATTCCTCCATTATTCTCAGCGGGGCCCACATTTTCATTCAATAGAACTTCATCTGGGCATTTAGACCCGACCCGTTTCTCCATCGGGGCTTCCACTTGTCCGATTCGGGTTCTCTTTCCTTTGGGGAGAAATTCATCGAGGTCGTAGTAGTAGTTGTCTTCCACATCTAATGATATGGGTTTGGGGAGATCGGATCCGACCCGTTTATTGGCACCGGGTTGAGGTTTGAAAGGTGAGGGTTTTGGTGGGAGGGAGAGAGTTGGTCTTTCGGGAGGGTTGCCGGATGAGGGGGGCGAAGGGGGTGGTTCTTCGGTTTCAAGTTCAAAATCGTCGTCGAACTGATCGTCTGATGCGTTGGATTCCAGCCATTGAAGCTCTTCTAGATCGGGAATATCCATGCTACTCTCGAAGATTTTGTGTTTCTGTGTATGTGTGTTAGAAAGTGAGTGTGTGTGTGTGTGTGAGAGAGAGAGAGAGAGAGAGAGAGAGAGAGAGAAGGCGCTGCTCTGTGAGTGTGCGAGACAAATTGGCGGGAAAACGAAGATGAGGCGGCAGAGAAGACGAGCGAATCGAGCTTCTTGGTTGTGATTTGACCATCTTACCCTTCTATATTTCTTGTTTCTTGATCGACGGTGGAAATTGGACGAATAGAAATACTTTTCCAGAAAAATCTATCTTTGTCAAAAATTAAAAACTAAGTTCGAAAAATTTTAAAAATATCGAAACTTCGGAAATTGGAACCGAAAAAAATCCAAAACCAATTTTTTTTGTTCCGGAAATTGAAACTAAATATTAGGACTGAGTAGTATCTCGGACCCTAGACAACCCCCAGTATCTATTGGAAAATATAAGTTCAAGCTCATATTTTAGATGTCGTGTACCAATAAAACCATGTTCTAAAATTTAGTCTAGAGAAAATTAAAATCTAGTGCAATGCGGATGATTTTTAAAAAATGTAACACGCTCATTCCAGAATGATAACCAGTCGCAGAGTAAGGTCTGGAATGAGTAAAAGGGCTTCTATAGATATCAAAGTCTCCAAAGTTGCAGCCTATTCATAAGCAAATTCAATATCAACTGACATCCATACAATTACAAAGAAAGATCCTGACCAGAAAAGCCTTAACTCTTGTTTCTATTTCTATTTATTTTTTATTTTTAAATAATATATTAAGATTTTTAAAACATCATCACATGAGGATAAGCAGTAATTGATTCCACCTCAGCACAACAGTGAAACCTTGTGATCGTTCGATACACGTGTCACTACCACCACTCTCTCCAAGCACGTCTGATTAGCCTTCACCGCATTATCATATGGAGCCCTAAATTTTGACATGGAAGCGAGCTCGTGGACCGAGTCGGCTAACTTAGCCGTGCAAGAGACCATTTCAATGAGCAGTAGAGCCACCGCTGCCGCCGGTATCATGTCACGGAAATCGATTTCAAGCCACTTCCCGTTCTGCAACAAAGACTCGAGACTCTTGGCGGCAGCCTCCGCATTTTTTATATGAGGGTCGCTCAGCATCGCAGGGCTACTCATTTTCTTGATCCCGACCGATAGTTCTCTCAGAGCGTGGCTGCATTGTTGGCTTATTGTCGTGCACGGTTCTTGTATCTTCTCTCGGATTTCCATCGGTGTCTGTTAAATAAAAATTGCTTAGCATGATAATTCCCTAAATGGTGCGATTTTTTTAGGGGTAGTTTGCTAATGTTTATAATGTGGAGATTTTTTTACAAATAGAATAAATACATAGGTCTAAATGCAATAAACCCTATATATAAATATACCTGTATCTTTGAGTTGAGATAGCAATTTAATGCATCAATTTTGCATGCACATTCTCTAGTATTGGCTCCAATCTTAAGGTATTGTTCCCATGGATGCCAATACTTAAACCTACCATGCCTAGGCTCCCATTTTGCAACATTCACCTAGAAAAAGAGAATGGAAATCAAATCGTACATGGTAGGAAGAATTATATTCGTAATGCACTGAATAAGGATGTAAATCGGACGGATCGGATCACATCGAAATAAGTACTCTTGGAAAAATTCCAATTCTTTTCAGAAGTGAAAAAATAATTCCAATTCAGTAAAAAAAAATCAAAAATCGGAATTTTAAAAATTGGAATGAAAACTCTTGTTTCCAGTATTTGAATTGGAATCGGTGGAATTCAAAAATTGTGTCCCAGTTTCAACACCCAATACTGGGTAAACCTCGCTCTCGTTCAATAGTCTACAAATTACACGAGAGAGGTGTAGACTGCACATGGGTAGATAGTTTGTATTAACTAACCAATGTATCAGCGGTGCTTTTGGAATTAATAACCGTTATGTATCCGTCCGGTGAAGCTTTCTTCTCTTGCTTTTTATCGTTGTTTGTCTCAAAGTATCTTCGTTCGAAACCTTTTGGCAAAAAAAAAAAAAAAAAAAAAAAAACTACATTCGCATCAATACATACATTATACACATATATCCCATCATATATATATATATTGCCTAAACAATCTAATTAAATTATACCTTCCATGAAAATCCCAAGCTTTTCGATGTTATTAGCCGTGAGATTGTGAAGATCTTCACCAGCCCAAATCGGGCACACAAATATGGAAATGAACACAGTAAGAACTCCACCAATCATAACTGTCGACAGCCTTCTGTATGCCATCAGCATGACCTCATCATTCCGGTAGCCCGACACCGATATCAGACAAAACGACAATATAAATACTAAAAGTCCATAATCATATCTCGCCTGTACTTTCGGAAAAAATCGAATAAATGTCGCCAAAGCAGCTGCACCATTGAAAAAATAATAGAAGCCCAAGAAAGTATACACTAATCATCAATCATATATACAGTAGAATCTCAATAAATTAATACTCGAATAATTAATAACCTCGCTTAAATAATAGTTTCTTTTGGTCCGAACTCGGTAAAAACCTACTAAATTATTAGTTCGATTATTTAATATTTCTTTAAATTAATAGAATTTTACTAGTATTAATTTATAGAACGACTAACTTTTGCTTACATATCAAGAAAATGAAAAATCCGAGCACACTAAATTCCACGATTCTTCCGTTAAAACTCGTTAACCGGTGCGCTGCGAGGCCTAATGCACCTCCAATCAATGTGGCAACCCCTCTATTCACCCCTTTTCCAAGTGTTGCTCCTAAAATAATATACAAAACCCTAATTAATCAGTCAAGAATATTCGAATCGAAAAACGAGCGAATATACATAACAACCAAATAAATCTTCTTACCGACGGTAAAATCGAAGATGATAATGACAGTCATGACAGCCCACATCGCAGAAACGCCGAAACCATCGTACAAGAAATCGAAATAGTAGAGTAACGAAACTAGGGTTACGGCCAATCCGACTTTACACGAGTGAGTGATTCTTCTCGGATCTTGTTTTCCTAGGTTCTTGGCATCTCTGACAGGACACATCACCGTACTAACAACCTTGTCGGAGCAACCCTTCAAACGTGTCCATGCAATTTTCGGCAACTCTTTAAGAACACTACTTTCTTGATTGTTGTCGGATGCCATTTTAATATTGTTGTTCCTCCAAAACCTCAGATGTTACTTAAGTACTAAACCCTCTCTCAAACAAATATGTAACAACACGTGTGTGTCAAGAAAGGGGCACTAAAGTAAATATTAAACTTTGTGTTCCATGTAATATGTGTTGAAAGATTTGGTCAATATTTAGTTGTTAGCTATTTTCTCGGTATTTTCTGTTGTGATTTTACATATTTAGAGATGATTTACTCAATGAATAAAATAGGGGGAAATTATAGTTTTCACCCCTCAAGTTTGCATCGATTTCACATTTGATCGCTCGTGTTCACAAAAAAAACATTTGGTCCTTCATGTTCCAATAATTCAACATATTTGATCATTTCCGTCAATTTACTGTTAGTCCATTAGTTAAGCAGCGATGCGCACACATTCTGATAGTTTTAACGGAAAATTGACGGAATTGATTAAAAGCGTTGAATTTTTAAAACATAAGGGACCAAATGTGTTTTTTTGTAAACATTGGGGACCAAATATGTAATCAATACAAACTATAGGGATGAAAATTGTATTTTTCACATAAAATAATCTCGGAAAAAAATACAATTTCCATCCCTCAAGTTTGCATCAATTTCTCATTCGATCCCTCATATTTCAGAAATTCAACATTTTAACTAACGGGCTAACGGTAAATTGACGAAAATAAAATTAAATGTTAAAATTATTGAAACATAGGAACCAAATGTTTTTTCTGTGAACATGGGCGACCAGATGTGAAATCAATGCAAACTCGAGGGGTATAAACTATATTTTTTGCAAATAACCTCAGCAAACACTTTATTCTTCATAAAAATTGTATCTTTCTTCATTTACCAATCTATCATATTTTTTTTAACGTAAAATATGTCAGTCGGTAAAGAAACAGAGTGGGAAAAAAAGATCAACATGCCAATTGATCTCTGTACGATATAATTTCTTCGAAAATCGGGAGTCTTTTCGATCTAACGGGGTTCCAGCTGTTCATCAACTGATCAAGTCCACCAATGAACGCATCTTCTAAACTTATACCCGAAGAAGCCGAAGAATCGGATATTGAAGATTTAATCGAATTTTCCAACTCCTTCAAAAGCTCCTCCGAACGATTCTTCAATTTCGGATCATCGGAACCTGGAAGTTCGCCTTTCAACACGTTTTCAAGAATCGATCTTGCTTCGGTATACCTTTCTTGTTTTACAAGGCACGTGCATAAATTGCAGGCTTTGTTTGCATCTGGGTCTATTTGCTGTGCTTTTCGATAAACGGCCTCTGCTGCAGTATAGTTCATTTGCTGCATATACGCCCAACCTAAATTCCCCTGCAATAATAATATTGCAATAATGAGGAACTTTTTACTTTACTCACAATTGTTCAAGCACACAAATGATTTTTTTTTTTTTTAAAAACAGTTAAACCTCTATAAATTAATAGAGCCGGTACTATCAAAATTCTATTAATTTAGCCAAATATTAAATTATCTAACTAATAATTTAGTAAGTTTTTACCGAGTCGGGTTTAGATGAAACTATTCTTATTTAAGAAAGGTTATTAATTTATCGAGGTTCTACTGCAACTAATCATTATTGGGAAAAATATACTTTTCGTCCCTCAAGTTTAGCTCGATTTCATATTTAGTCCGGCTTGTTCACAAAAAAAAAAAAAAAAAAAAAGATTTAGTCCATCATATTTCAAGAATTTAACATTTTTGGTCATTTCTGCCAATTTACCGTGTCAATTTACCGTTAGTCTATCAACTGATAGTGACGGGTACATGCTTAATTTTGTAAGGTATTTATGGAAAATTGACGGAAAGGACCAAAAGTATTAAACCATTGAAACATGGGTACTAAATCTGATTTTTGTTAACAAGGAGGACCAATTGTGAAATCGAGGTAAATTTAAGGGACGAAAAGTGTAATTTCCCAATTATTATTATTAGACCGAAATTGTGGGTTTCTAATTACCAGTATTCGAGATGTCTCTTGCTTAACGGTAACCTGAAATTTCCGTCCATGCGAACGAGCCGTTTTTGTAGGTTTTCCATTAAAGGCTTCTCCTTGGCCAATAATCCTTAACTTCTGCTTCAGCAGCTCGATTTCATCGTCTATGTTACCACATTTCTGCAAAGTCAAATCATATTTAAAAAAAAAAAGTCAAACGAAAAATATCGAGGATAAAAAAAACACACAAGTGGATAATTATATGCACCAACGAAAAATTTAAACGTTATTTAGTCGTTACCTTGTATAAATCAATAAGCACGTTGTCTAGTGATTCTTGAGCATTTTTGGAGCACCGATCTCTGAAAGATTTTATAGCTTCGATTGCTTCTTCGGCTCGATTTTGTTGTTTCATAACAACCGCCATGTCTTTGAGTGCACTGTCTACTCTATCTCCCGTGTTTATTGCCTTCCAGAATAAGACTATTGCGGCTTCCGGATCCTTCTCGACCAACTATTACAAAATACGGATTTTACCACGTTAGAAAATTCGATTAATTAGACAAACCGAACATTTGACATTTACATGACAAACATGTAATTAAAGACAGCAATGGTAATAGTAAAAAGTGTCGTAAAATACAGCGTCGGTGGATTTGAATTGTAAATTTGTTCATTGCAAGAAAGTGAACTAATGGCATTTGTGAAAAGGCAGGATATTATAGGTGGGTGCCCCTTCACACTCCGAAAGGGTAATTTAGTCAATAATTAATCAGAGCTCGGGGGGCCAATTGCGGTAGCGCATAAAATCAACTAGAGCCCACATAAATTATATCTACTACAGCCTCACTAATAATTATTGGACAACATATTAATGTACAATAAATCTGGCATAAGGTTTTAATATAATCATATTAGCGGAACCCGGATTTTAAGCCCGAGGGAGCGGAATGCATTAAAAACAAATATGAGGGGTGGCCGTTAATGCTATTGTACGCACAAAAAAAAAATTATATTTATATATAAGTTAATAGAGATTTGAGAAATGTTGGGGGCCATGGCCCCCCTGCCCCTATGTTGGCTCCACCACTTGCCCCTATGTTGGCTCCACCACTGCATGTGGAACGACAAAGTCCAAGAACTCCTACACATCTATATGGAACAATTTTTGGTTGATAAGCAATTGAGTCGGGCTTTAATCGATCCCAAACACGAATCGAGCTCGAGCCAAAATTCATAGTTTATTTAACGAACCGAGCTCAAAACCGAGAAAACAAGACCCCATAAATTTGCAGGGAAAATTCCACTAAACTCATATCACACGAACAACAAAACTAAACAATTGGCTTGGTTTCAAGAAGTACATTTACAAGATTAATTAAGCACTAAAAAAACACAAAAATCTCACCCAATTTTTTCCCTTATTCTTGTTCAGTCAACTTCAAAATTCCAATCTTTAAAAAGTCAAACCAACTAATTAAAGACCAGAAACCATGAACACAGTATATTATAACGCAAACATTAACATCTACAAGCTACGAACGAATCTCACTCGCAGGAAACAGCATATATACATAATAATAATAAATAAATAAATGCAATATTTAAAATAATGAAAAACCTGGAAATACTTGGCTCTGACATAAGGGCTGTCACCAGGAGGTAGTTTATGGATCGCATGATACGTTTCATTTTTCTCTGTTTTTCTTGGACCGCAGCTATTAATATTATTCCTCATCGATCCCTCTAAATTCAAATCTCTCTAGGGAAAAAAATAATATAATTATTATTATTTTTTTTTTTTTTGTAAAGAAATGGCAAATGGGTTTTGCTCAGATACAGTGAGAAGAAGGTTTTGAGGTTGCAGAAAAAAGAAACAGCCAAGAAATGATGGATATATTGGGATCGTTTGGATGGAATGAACCTGGACGTGGGCATGTCCAGGTTCTTACCTTCCTGGATTTTCTTATGTTCATATGGTGCTGTTTGCTTGCCACGTCTGCCAAAACAATATTTTAAAGGGTAAATTACAAACACCCCCCTGAGGTATGGTCAAATTACAAAAACACTCCTCTTGTTTGGATAATTACAACCACCCCCCCTCAACTATAATTTTTTTATTACACCTCCACCCTTATGGTGCCAAATTCAACATAATCATCTAGATTCCGGGAAATTTGCTCTAGTTTGTACTCGTTTTGTGTAAAAAATACAGTTTCCGATGCACCCAAAAACTGATATATACAAGCTAAAAGTCACATATTATGATCATCTTGCTTCATAATGTAGAGTTTGAATGAGATAAAACGGGTACAAAAGTGATAATATTCCATATAATCTCGAGGATTTCACTAAATTTGAGGAGTTGAGGGGTTGTAATTTCCAAACAAGAGGGGTGTTTTTGTAATTTGACCATACCTCAGGGGGTGTTTGTAATTTACCCTATTTTAAATAGTGGTGCCATTTTTTTATTTTTTTATTTTTTGGAAAAATTACACATCACCCACGAAGTACGCTAAAATAGTTGTAAGGTCCTTGTAGAATCGGTAATTACAATCACACCTGAAACATTGTTAGAAACCCTAACGAAATAATGCATTTGGTAAGTTATTTCGTTACGGTTTTAACGGACTTTGTTTCAGACAGTGGTGGAGACAACGGGGTGACATGGCTCTCGTAACATTTCTTAAGTCATTATTATGCTGTATAAGATTTATAAATTTTAGTCTATGTTAACGGCCCCGCGGGAAATAAATACAGTGCATATCGATCCCCAGGACAAGGAATATTGCTCCGGTGATTGGTTTAGGGGTGTGGATGTAATTACCAATACCATAGGGACATTAAAGTTATTTTGGTATACCTCAGGGATGCAAGTATAATTTACCAATTCCACAGAGGTTTAAAAGTTGTTTTAGCATACCTTAGAGGTGCAGGTGTAATTTACAATAAATTGTTTTTTTAACTTTTTTTTTTTTTTTTGTCGTGCTTATTTATTCTCAGGAATGCAGATGCTTATTAACGCCCAATAAACTTATAAACCTATCTTGGCCCAGTTGGATCTATAAATGAAGTCTAGCCCAAGTACTTTATTTATAATAAATCAAGGGTCGAAATTGTACCGATCGGACCGGTATTAGCACTTTCGAACGAAATAAAATCTAGAAGTGGAAAACTTATTCCAATTCTCCTCCATAAAAACTCGAAATTGCAGTTTCGTGAATTTGAATAAAAATGTTTATATTTACATGCTTACGATCTTTATCTGATTTTTTCAGTTATTGCGATTAATCACAACTCTATCCAATTACGAACAGTTAGATAATATTAGGATCATTCAATGATGCAATATTCTAATTAGCTTGGATTGAAATGATGCAATTTTTTTTTATTACATAGTAAACACCATGGAAACATTACACCATACATAGAACAATCAATACAAGTACAAATTAAAGACAAAAAGCCTTATTATGTAATAATATTCCTCAATTACCACATTGATTCTGGCTTAATTATTTATTCAAACAACTTGAATATAACAAAATACTTAAATCTTGATGGGGTCGACGAACAAGGCAACGATGTGAGGTTTAAGGACCTTTTCGGGTTGAGTGTATCCATCTTCGTTGTTCTTGTAAGTGACATCGATTATTCTTTCAAGATTAAGGATTCTCATTAAAACATCCCTTGGGTGAGACGACGGCTTTAAACACTCCTCGTTCGTATCTTTCCATGAATTTGTTGCTATTTCGAAAAATTTGTCCATTGCTTCTTCCTTAGTTGCTCCAAATTCCTTCATGTAGGATTCAATTCCGGTAGCTATTTGTCCTCTTGCCTTCTCAACCTAGAAATCTCAACAACAAATATATATTTACGAACTCAAAGAAAAAATAATATTCAATTGAGGTAAATTCAGATGCAGTTATTCAGCTAAATACGAATGCAGTACTTATACAGTTTCAAGTACAACTTGAAGTATTAGGTATCTATATTAAGTTGCTTCGTTTGTATACCTCATAAGTAGCGATATCATCAATGAGACGACAAATTTTGAGACTTGCTACAAGCATCTTAGGTTTCTGACTAAGCCATTCGAAATCGGGCTCGTTTGCGGATTTTGTTCCGAGCAAAGCGGTGGTTGTGTGGTAACAATAAGTGCATGTGATCAAAGCATTGTCCAAATATTCATTGAATGGAGGCAAATATCCTTCAATGAACCACTTTGCTTCTACATGGTAGCTCCTCACCAATTCCTTAAGCTACATCACATCATATATTATATGACAAAAATTAGTAAATCATACATATATATATATATATATATATATAAACATGCAAGGAGAAAGAATCTTGATTTTTTTTTTGTTAGGGCTTAAAATTAAGTCATACAGATTCTTTGGCATAGGTTATGGCATATGATCTTCTTTCTTGCTCTAGTTCTTTTTCAAATTGCACGTAGAGATCCAAAAGAGCCGAATAGAACGGTTTAATGTATTGGGGGAGTCGATCGATTTGGCTAATATCCCACCTAAATAAATTAAACCAAAAATATATTAATTAAAAAAACTTATAAGCATGTATGACAAAATTTTAGGTTTTTAAAAAAAAAATAATAATTACTTTTCAATGGCGTCGGTGAAAATATTGAGTTCTTCGATAACACCATAAGCATCGTAAGTGTCGTCGATTATGGAAGTCATGATAATGGTTTTAGTGAGCATGACTCGAGCGCGAGAGTATTGAGGCTCGTGGTACACTCCCACTGCCCAAAAGTAACACTCGACCACTCGATCTCTTGCGTACGGAAGCTTCGAAACAAGGTCCAACTCTTTCCACCACCTAAATCCAAATAAATCAATTATAATTAACAACATATTTAATCGTCGAAACAAAAATGTATATTTATCTCGACGACATTATATATATACCTCGAGACTTCACGGAGCTCGTCTTTGTAAAGCATCTGCAGTAGATTATAGTCCAATTTGGCAAAAATAAGAAGAGTTTCGTTTTTGTTTTCATCTTGTTCGTAAAAAGAGATGAAATTACGCGTTTCGATTCTCGGATTCCCGAAATGCAAGGGTTGAACTAGGGCATGGAAAACATGTTCTCTTAAGGGTGAGCTTAGATTTGGTGCAATGGACTTAAGGTTGCTTGTGGCGAAAGCAAGAGCATCTTCGAGAATATCCTCTTCGTGCACTCGAAGATACGATGCTTCGTACAAACTCAACAAACCCTTTGCATCACTCTTGATAACCTCTTTGAATTTCCCCTCACCATCCTTGAATTTTCTAAATATATCTGATAAAAAAACACTACTAGAAAATTGTGATATAGCGACGGAAATTAGCAACAAACAACATATCCGTTTCTAAAATAGTATTTAGCAACATATTTAGCAACGGATAATAAGATCGTCTCTTTACTTATTAAATTTCAGTTATAGCGACAGCAGTTAGTGACGGCTAACAAATCCGTTTCTAAAATAATTATTTAGAAATAGATTTAGCGACAGATATCCAATCGGTCACAAACGTAGATATTTGGGGACAAAATTTAGCAACGGATAATAATTTCGTTTCTAAATTAAATATATAGTAACGAATATAGCTACAGATAAATATAATATTCTAAAATAAATTTTAAACAGTAGATTCTCGCTATAGTAAAATTATATTTTTTATTCATCTCAAAAAAAAAAAAATTATATTTTTTATATTAGTTAATTGAAATCAATAATCAATCAAAATAAAATTAATAAGTATGAAAGTATATAATTGTTGGAAACAATATATTTCAACACATATATCGTCCTCTCATACCGCCGTCTTCTTTATCCCCTTTTATTTTTCATTTTCCTTCTCTCTTATGCGGTTAACAGAAGACGACGTCTCTATGTCTCGCCTTGCTCTCGCTGTAACCACCGTGGGTGGCCTTTTGTTATCACCTCCGCCACAATAGTCTCTCCATAGGCCAGGTTTGCTTTTCCCCCTATCTCTCGCTATCCCACTCTTCAATTGGAAGTTAGGGTTTTTGCTTAAAGGCCCTAAATTGGGTTTTAGTTTGACATTTAAAATATAGAGTTATATGACTTTGTTTCTTAAAATTGTATGTAAGAGTTCTTGAATTGTATTTTGGGACAGAAAAGTTGAATGTTCAACAGAGACTTAGGGTCGAGTGATTTTCTAGATCGATCCATTTTGATTGAGAAAAATATGGTACGTGCTTTACCTACCCAAACTTTATTTTGTTTGCCAATCTATTTTATTGAGCTTTTGTATATATTTTTTTCCTGGTTTGAGCGATGTCTAGTACTCTAAGCATTTTAATATTGTACCATATTGACTACAGATAACATCTTGAAAACCTTCTTTCCTCTGCATTTTTTGGTAAACAGACATTATTGGTAAAATACTATATTCTTTGGAAGCACTATAATCATAAGAACTCATTCAGAATGGGGATACATGTATTTTGGTTGTTAAACATTTTCCGTGCAATTAGCGTAGAGAAAGGGAAAAAAGTAATTCTTATCATTTTGTAATATGCGTTTCAATTTTTAATTTCGTAAATTGATAAAGAAATCAATAAGTGTAAAGTATAGTAAAACATAAAAACAAATAGTATGTCATCTGCACATGGGATTGGTGGTTTGGAATTTTATATCTTTTAGATCACTATTTTTACTATCTAAACTTTTGGTAAACATTTATATCCATGATTTATATTTCTAAGAGTATATCTAGAATACTAAGTTGGGTAGTTCCATGAGCATTTGTCTGAATCTATTAGATATAGTTGATTGACTGTGTTACCATTTTTTCTAAGTGTTTAATCTTAATACCTACTATGATGGATTTAAACAATTTTTACAGGAAAATGGTGTCAACATTGGTGCAGTTGAGGTACATCACCATATGAATGAAGTTGAGGTAAATCACCGTATGTTTTGTTTGACTCACTATTCTATTGTATAACTTTGATACATGCATAACAACATTTTGCATTAAACGTTTTATGTAAAAATATTTATTTATGTTTTAAATTGTTCGCAGAAAGAAAGAAACCAATTGTTGATGCAAAAAAATCCGGTTAATTCCAAAGTACTCAACTACTCAAAAATAGTGTGGACTGAATTGCTTCATTGTGACTTAATTATTATCTTTTATTATTTTACGAAGTCTGAATGCGAATTATTGCTTTCCACTTGCAGATACACAGTTTAGCTTGACTTGCTTGGATAAATTGTAAACATGATTTGTGAGAATGATCAAGATTTGATGATTCACCGTAGTTATTTTATGGCCAAGTAAGTGGATACCTATTTTCGTTTGTTTTGTTGTAAAGAAAGTGAGTTACGCATTCAACATTGAGATATTTAAATTGTTAATACGTGTCTTTGTACTACATGTTTGACATTCTAGCTAGAATATATATGAATTATTTGTAATTCTTCATATCTTAAATTATGCTCATTTCTTATTGTAGTATTATCTTTAATTCTTTTCAGGTTGTCATTCAAGCAATGCATCAAAGTCAACGAGTAGGATCTGCTGAAGATGTTGAGTGCTGAGGATGTAGAGCGAACAATGAATTTAAGAATAGGACTGAATACGAGCAAAGCTCGTCAAAGAATTTATAGGATATGATTGAATTTGTTTTATTTTGACTATGTAGCAAACTTTTGAATGATCATCGGAATGCATTCTATATATATTGAGATTTTGAACATTTTTGTTGGTATACAGTATATTCAACCATGCATTTAAATATGGTAGCAAGCACATTTGAAATATATATATATATATATATATATATATATATATATATATATATATATATATATATATATATATATATATATATATATATATATATATATATATATGGTCTCAATTAGTTACGGAATTAGAAATGGAACTAGTGACAAATATATTCAATAGAGTAAGAAAAATGTAGCGACGGATTTTAATCTATCGCTGAAAGTCAAAGCAACTTCATTTTGTTGACCAGGGTTAGCGACGTCTTCGTTATCATTAGTGACGAATTATTCCGTAGCTACATTAGTGACGGATTAAACATGGTTCGTAACTAAAATTTAGCGACGCGGCTTTTATCTACGGACATAGCAACGGAGCATTTCTGTCGTTAAATCCTAATTAGCAACGGATTAATGGTATTTAGCCACGGATATGTCCGTTGCTAAATGGCAGTTTTCTAGTAGTGAAAAAATTAATAAATCGAGTACGTACAAAAAACACGCGTATGTGTGTATATATATGTATAATAATTAAATACACGCAAGCACCAGAAGATATACGGTGACCGTGCTGTCTGAAAACACGGAAATGAAGCGAAACGGTGTACAAATCGTAGGTTTCGTCCTCGTAATTTGTATTCAGATTGAAAAATTGTTCCAATTTTTCTTCAATCTCGTTTTCGAAGTGGTACGAAATGCCTAAGCGCTCGATCGTGTCGATCAGATTCAGACCGTCGAAAATTTTAGTCTCATTGGCTTTCAGCATAGTCCAAACTTCATTCTTCAACACTTGAATCCTCTCGGAATATTCTTCTCTCACCTGTTAATTAATTAATTAAAGTATTAATAACAAATGAACAATATTTATGTACTTTAGAGACAATAATATATGTTTAATTAGAGTGCATGTATACTTATATAATATATATATACATATATTACCTGAAGATCAGAAGTGTAATTGATGAACTGATCACCCCATAAACTGGGAGAGAAGTTAGAAACAGGGCGAACAATTTCATTTTCAAGAAGTGCTGATGAAGCCATATTATCACAGCAGTTTTAATTAGTACTTGCTTAGTAATTAATACTTTTGAGGATTAAGCACAAAATTAAGTAATTAATTATTGCAAGTAATTAATTATTGCGCTTGTATTTGCTGTGGATACAAGTGTTGATGAAACACCTTTATTTATACTGGAACTATAGCCAAGAATTTTCAATTTCTTTTTGGACGAATACAGTTTTCATCCCTCAAGTTTGCATCGATTTTACATTTGGTCCTCAATATTCACAAAAAACACATTTGGTCCCTTATGTTTGAAAAAATTAACATTTTTAGTTTTTTCCCTCAATTTTTTGTTAAAATTAATGGAATTAAGCATGTGTCCACTACTACCTGAATGGGCGGACTGACGGTAAAATGACGAAGATGACCAAAAATGTTAAATTATTGAAACATACGAGACCAAATATGTTTTTTTTAACACGAGGGATCAAATATAAAGTAAATGCAAACTTGAGGAATGAAAACTGTAACTTTCTTATTTCTTTTTTCTTTTCTTTTTAATCAATTTCTGGATCCAAAAAGCAATCCATTATTGATTGAAGCTAACCAACTGATTCTTAAACAAATTTGTTTTTCAAATAAATGACATATCATCAATTTCATCATGAATTTTCTTATTTTCGAGAATTCTAATTTTCAGTTTTCTTTTAATCGAAATCGGAAATAATATATATGAAATCCCGCTTATTCCCGATAATTACATTATAATAATATCGATTATATGTATTTTTTATTACACTCGAACAAAAAAATGGAATATAATTTGAGGTATTTTACCGATTTCGATCTGATTTTTTTTTTTTTTGGAACACAAAATATTCTTCCAATTACAGAAAGAAAGAAAAATCAACTCTCTATTTGTCCAAATATTTTGTAAGGGAATTGGATTTTTTTTTTTCGAATATATATATATATATATGTGAACTTTAATTTACACGGAACAAATGTGTACTCCTAAATCACATGCATCAAGGGACAAGTCTATGATGATGCATAGCTAATTTTGGCAATTTCATTTTTTCAAAAAGTATTCACACAACAATTTCAAATAAAAATCACATTTTTTTCACAAATTATTCTTTCAAAATACTTTTCCCACATTTTAAACATGAATTTCAATTAATTGCTACATTTTATTTTGTCTCTTATCAAATTATAGGGGAAATGTGAGATAACCCTCTAGTTTTGAAAATATATAGGGATAGTTTCTATAGATTTTCTTTTCCTAGTCAAAAATCCAAATTCTAATCTTAATTTGATAGACCCCCTAGACAAATTGAAATACCCATTTTGCCCTTTCAATTACAATTTAAAACCCTAAACCCTAGTTTTTTTTTTCTTTTTCACTCCCACATTAACTATCAGTCGCCCCCTCCCCCACTCTCTATCTTTCTTTCTCTCTCTAATTCTCTCTCTCTTATCTTTCTTTCTTTCTCTCTCTTCATCTCTCTAACTCTGTCTTTGCCCACAGCCCTCCACAGCCTTCGTTGCTCCGCTCACCTCCTTGTGCCGTCGCCGCTGCTCATCCACCTCCTTGCGCGTCGTCGCCGCCGCTCCCCTCACTTCCTTGCGTTGCCGCCGCCGCTGCTCCACCACTGCCTTGCGCCGCTGCTCCGCCGCCGCTGCTCCGCCACGGCCTTGTGTCGGCCGTCGTTACTCCTCCCACCGCCTTCAACTCCGTATTAAACCATCCACTTTACCTTTTTAAGTTATTTTTTTAATTTATGAATGTCCATCCATTTTTAATCTATTTTTTGAAACTCTGAATTCTTACTATTTCACCCTTTTTAATTGTTTTTTTTTATGAAAAACAACGGAATTCGAAAATTTCAAACCGTGATTCGACAATTTGTAGTCAGATCTAATGGTGAATTTCAGATCTGGAACCGGTGGTGTTTGATTTGTATATGCATTTATAAAAAAAAACCAGATCTGCTATGTTTTTGAATTAATTTATCAAAAAAAAAACCAGATCTACTATGTTTTTCAATTAATTTAATTTAAATTTTTTAGATTAATTTTTTTTTATTATAAACATATGTAAATTCGTTTTTGTATTTATTTGAAGATGATTCGAAATGCCTCAAGTGTGAGAGGTTTGTTTGTCTGTAGTAGAAATATAATCAGTAGTGGTTACTTAGTCATATACAGTCTCATATGTAGTCATGTATAGTCATGGCTACATATAACTATACATGACTATAGGACTTGTACATATGCAGTCATAAGTAGTCATGTATAGTCATGGCTACCTATAACTATACATGACTATAGGACTTGTAGTACACTATAGTCATTTGTTGTCGATTTCAGTTCAACAAATTTATCAACAAAAAAAAATTATTTTCTTTTGTATTTTTCATGTAATCTAACTCGCATGTTCTATTTTTCTATTTAACTCGTATTTTTTTGTCGCAGATTTTGCTTTTATTATAATTTTATGACATGCAGAGAATAAGATGTGTTGAAGTGTCTTGTGAAGTTGGATTCATGCAACAGTAGTCTAGACTTTTGTCACTATATATAACTATAGATAATTATATATAGATAATTATAGTCACATGTAGTAACATACAGTATATGTATGATATTGTTTTTTTAATGTACAATAATACTTATTCATGTTTGAAAAATATATGCATATGATTGTATTTTTTCATTTTTTGTTTGTTAGTTGATTTTATAATATCAAGATCTAAATTGTGAATTTCATTTGTTGGTGTAGATGAATTTTGGGGTAAAAAGACAGTACATGACTACATATAACTATACATGACTTTTGAACTTGTAGTACACTGTAGTCATGTGTAGTATACTTTCAGTTCGATAATATTACCAAAATTTGAATTTATAAAAAAAAATTAAAAAATTAAAAAAATTAAAAATTAAAAAATTAAAAAATTAAAAAATTAAAAATTTAAAAAATTTAAAAAATTAAAATAAATAAAAAAATTAAAATAAATAAAAAAAATTAAAAAAATTGAAATATTAAAAAAAAAATTGAAATATTAAAAAAAAAATTAAAAATGCAATAATAATAAAAAAATGTACAATATATATACACAGGAATAAAAAAAATTAAATTAAAAAATGATGATATATGCAGTACAAAAATACTAAATGCAGGTCCAAAAATGATAAATGCAGTTGGTGAAAATGTTGAATGCAGTTGGGCGAAAATTGCAAATAAGGGCACACAAAAAATATGGTTTTTTTTGGGTAAATTACATATACACCCCTAAGGTATACTAAAATAACTGTAATGTTCCTATAGTTATCGGTAATTAGTAATTACAATCACCCCTGAAACATTATTAGAAACAGTAACGGAATAATGCATTGGGTAAGTTAATCCGTTAGGGTTCTAACGGACTATTTGTTTCAGGAAGTGGTGGAGACAACATAGAGTTAGGGGGTGACATGACTCTCTCAATATTTCTTAAAACCTTATTATGTTATACAATAAATTTTCGGCTATGGTAGTAATAACGGCCCCCGCAGGTTACAAACATAGTGCATATCGGTCCCCAGGACACGAGATATTGGCTTCGGTAATTGTTTCATGGGTGTGAATGTAATTACTAATACTATAGGGACCTTAAAATTATTTTAGCATACCTTAAGGGTGAAGGTGTAATTTACCAATACCACATGTACCTTAGAGTTGTTTTAGCATACCTCAAGGGTGCAGGTGTAATTTACCCTAATTTTTTTAACTTTTTTTAATTTTTTTGGTCGTGCTTATTTATTCTTTTAGCATAAACTTATCTGATAGGAGTTGTGACATTGGTGCAAGCAATGTGACATTGGCTTAATAAGGCCCAATAAACCTATCTAAAAATTGAAGCCTAGCCCAACTAGTTTGTTTTATACTGAATGGGGGTCGAAATCGTACTGATCGGACCGGTATTAGTACTTGCGGAAGAAACAAAACCTGGAAGTGGAAAACTTATTCCAGTTCTATTCCATAAAAACTCGAAATCACAGTTCCGGGAATCTGAATATTTTTTTTTTATATTTGCATGTTTACGATCTTTATCTGTTTTCAATTATTAGGGCTAGTCACAACTCTATCCAAGTACGACTAGTTAGATAATATTAGGATAATATAATTATATTAAGTACTCATCTGATCTTTCAATGATGCAATATTCTAATTAGCTTTAATTGATGCAAATTTTTTTTATTACATAGTAAACATCATGGAAACATTACACCATATATAGAACAATCAATACAGGTACAAATTAAAGACAAAGAGCCTTATTATGTAATAATATTCCTTAATTACCACCTTAATTATGGCTTAATTATTTATTCAAATAACTTGAATATAACGAAATACTTAAATCTTGATGGGGTCGACGAACAAGGCAACGATGTGTGGCTTAAGGACCTTTTCGGGTTGAGTGTATCCATCTTCGTTGTTCTTGTAAGTGACATCGATTATTCTTTCAAGATTAAGGATTCTCATTAAGACATTCCTTGGGTGAGACGACGGCTTTAAGCACTCCTCGTTCATATCTTTCCATGAATTTGTTGCTATTTCGAAAAATTTGTCCATCGCTTCTTCCTTTGTTGCTCCAAATTCCTTCATGTAGGATTCGATTCCGGTAGCTATTTGTCCTCTTGCCTTCTCAACCTAGAAATCTCAACAACAAATATATATTTACGAACTCAAAGAAAAATAATATCCAATTCAGGCAAATTCAGATGCAGTTATTCAGCTAAATTCAGATGCAGTACTTATACAGTTTCAAGTAAACTTGAAGTATTAGGTATCTATAATAAGTTTTGCTTCGTTTGTATACCTCATAAGTAGCGATATCATCAATGAGACGACAAATTTTGAGACTTGCTACAAGCATCTTAGGTTTCTGACTAAGCCATTCGAAATCGGGCTCGTTTGCGGATTTTGTTCCGAGCAAAGCGGTGGTTGTGTGGTAACAATAAGTGCATGTGATCAAAGCATTGTCCAAATATTCATTGAAT